TTTCTGGTATATGAACTTCAGTGCTCCAAGAGTAGATGCCAGACCTTGCTCTCCCAGGTTCTTCTGTGGTCAGGCACAGGTTCTCACGTGGGCTTTTCCAACCAGGTGACCTGTCCGTGACTTCAATTGCAGAGTGGAAAATCAGAGGAAGAGTACTGAGTGTGGACCATCCTTCATAAAATGGAGGATCAGAAGGATCAGGCCTCTAGCAATTGCTCCCACAGAGAGCCTCAGTGTCTGGGTAGTGGCGACATCACCAAGGGTTTCCAGGGGCACTCTGGAGGGAAGAAGCATGGTGGGATCTTAGCTCCTTGATGCATAGACTATGGTTTTGTCTTTCTGCCTTTCCTATGTATGAACTTCCAAGCACCATGTACTAGGTTTCCTTTCTGAATAATCTATCAGGAATAGAATCTATTTTCAATAAAGTTTGGGCCAATACATTATCCAGTCCATTCCATGAGATCTTGCAACTTGAAGGCCATTTTTTCATTAACTGTCAAGTTTTGAGATACTTGAAGGTTCTCAGGCAGTTGTAAGGAATAATACAGAGAGACTACATACCTTCTACTCAGTGTCTGTCAGTGGTAACATCTTGTAAAACTATAGTACAACTGCATAATGAGGATAAGGGCCTTGATACAATCAAAGTACAGAGCAGCTCCATCACCTGAAGGATCTTGCAATTTGCCCTTTCACAGACAAACCCCACTTGAATCCAACCCAATCCCTTCTTAGATCCATGGCAAACACTAATCTGTTGTTCATTTCTGTAATTTTTTGTACAAATTGAATCATGTAATATGTCACTTTTTGAGATTGGATTTTCCCCCCACTCAACATAATTCTCTGGAGATACATCCAAATTATTGTGTGCACTGGCAATTCATTCCTTTTTATTGTTGAGTAATACTCCATGCATGGATTTCTAGAGCTTGAAGTAATCATTTATCCACTAAAGAACATCTGAGTTCTTTCCAGTTTGTCTATTATGAATAAAGCTGTAGAAACATTTGTGTGCAGGTTTTGTGTGAGTATAAGTTTTATATCTATATAAAACTGTACTATTTTGGGCCAGGGATTTAGCTCAGTGGTTTGCCACCTGCCTTGCAAGTGCAAAGTCCTGAGTTCAATCCCTGGTACAAAACAAAAACAAAAACAAAAACAAAGCCCACAACTGTACCATTTTACATTCTCATTAACAATGTGTGATTGATCCAGTTTCTTTCCATACTCTCTCCAACATTTGTTGTTACTACTGATCTATCCATTCTGATGGGCATGTGGTAATATCCCATGTAATTTTGCATTCCCCTAACAACTAGTAATTTGTGCCTTATTCAATATACTTAATTGCCATGTTTGTATTCGCTTTAGTGTAATAGTTCAATCTATTGACCATTTTCTAATTGGATTGTTTGCTGTTCCAATGATGAGTTTTGAACATTTTATCTATTCTAGAGAGCAGTGCTTTTCCAAATAACTGTTTTGCAAATATTTCCTCCCAGTCTACCATCTGGCTTTTTATCCTATTCACATGGTTCATTGCAGAGGGGAAAAAAAATCAGCTTTGATAAAATCCTACTTATCATTGATTTTGCATTAGGTGCCAAGTTTAAGAAATTTTCTACCTACCTGTATGTGGCAAAGATTTTCTTCTATTATTTTTTTCTATAAGGTTTGCATTTTTACAATTTATATTTAAGTTCTTGATCCATTTGGAAAATGTCTTGGTGTGGAAGATGTGGATTTAGGTCAAGATTTATGTGTCTCTGAATGTTCAGTTGTTCAGTCAGCATTGTTGAAAAGGCTATTTTTCTCAGTGAATTTTTCTTGTACTTTGTCAAAACTCACTATATTTACGTGGATCTACTTATTCTCTGTTCTATTTCATTGATCGTTATGTCTTAATTACTGTAAAGCTTACTTTTTTTTAACTACATAAGAACTCAGGATTACAAGTAGATTGATTCCTCTCACTTTGTTTTAAAAATTATTTGTATGTATTTTTGTTCTTTACCTTTCCATATAAATTTATTTTACAATAACCTTGTCTACATCTACAAAATATGTATATATTCTATTAATTGTCTACATCTACAAAATATGTATATATTCTATTAATTCTGGTTCTCTAAAAAAATCCTAATACTTTTTTTTTTTAGGTTTTGCTAAGATTTTTGATTGACAGAAAGAAACACTATATTCTTAACTTTAATTTCATACAAGCTAAGGAAGTGTGAGCTACCACTCAACTCCCAATTTCCCTCTTAAATGATTTGAAGGTAGTCTGTTCTTTGTTGCATGTTTCCTGTGCTCAATATTTATTAGAAAGAATATCTTATTTTTTGTTGTTAGGCAGCTTGCTTCCTAAATTTTGTTAAGTCTTTTTCAGTAGTTATATGTTCTTGCTGATTTTCTATGTAGTTAATCTATAGTTTTTGGAGAAGAGCTGTTAAAGTCTCTAACTACAATTGTGGATTTGTTTATTTCTCTTATAGTTTTATCAATTTTGCTTCACATACTTTTCAGCTCCTTTTTGTGCATACATTTTTAGGATTGCCATGTCTATTTGGTGGGTTGATTTATCATTATACAATATGAATTTTTGTTTATAACAATTCTTTGCTCTGAAATCTACTCTATCTGATACTAGTATGATGACTATTTTCTTTTGATTGATATATGTATAAATATATATTTCCAGTATTTTACTTTTAAGCTTCCATCATTATATTTGAAATAAATTTCTAGTGGACAGCATATAAAATTTTAAATTCATTGTACTGACCTATGTATTTCACATGGCTTATTAGACAATTTACATTAAATGTGCCTATTGGTATATTAATATGTTACTTTTTTTTTTTAGTTCTTATTCCATAGGACTTTTTCTTTTCTTTGTATTGAGTTTATTGGTACAATCTAGGTCTACAGTACAGTTACATTCATTACTGGGATCCTGTACCTTCACATGACAGGTCTTGGTTCTCATTTTTTTCCTCTTGTCCCTGCCCTCCCTTCACTCCCTCCTCCCCTCCCCATTAACAAACTCTTTATTTCAATTTTTTCATTTTCTCATATTTTTTCTTTTCCCTTATTACCTTTCTCCTACCATTTCCACTTTCCCCACACCTTTAGCCTTTTTCTTCCTATTTCACACTCTTAATTATCCCATTAGGATCTTGTGTACTATTATAGTTTTTTGTTTTATTTTTGTTCTCTATTTCATTATTCTGTCTTGTTTCATGGTTTTCTGTGGATTACTTTAACATTTAAAAAATTCTATTTTGATTTATCTGTATGTATATCTCTTGGAATAGTTTTTAGTGATTGCTACAGTATTATACTACATGAAAACAACTACTGATGGTTGTACCCTATATTTATAAAGCTCTTAACCTTTCTATGTATACAGACTGACTCACATCAGTCATGTTAATACTTTCACTTTGTCTATCAAACAGAACTTCACAAACTCAAAAAATTTATAATCTTGTATTTACTTGTATTTTTTCTGCATTCTGTCCTTTGTGACGTTCAAATTTCTGTTAGGTCAAAGAAGACCTGTTATGAAACCAACAAAATAACCAGCTATGGGCCAGAGATTTAGCTCAGTGGTTTTGCCACCAGCCTTGCAAGTACAAGCACCTGAGTTCAGATCCCCAGAACCAAAACATAAACAAACAAACAAAAAAAAACAAGATAAGAAGCTGCAAGAAAATGTAAAGTGGAATTGTTTTAAAAAATCTTGGGTAACCATATACCTGGGTCATGGATCCAGGAGTCAGCTGCCAGTCAGGGGCGTTTGGGGTTACATGTGGGCTGGGCTTTAGGAGATGTGCGTAAGGGTGATTGAGCAGAGAGGAGCAAAGCAGGTTAGGGTGATAGGCTGAATTAAATTCTGTTTTTCTAAGCAAAGCTTCTATTTTCTGAACTAGCCTCACCCAATCAAAGGTTGAGTTAAATTTCACTTTTCTATGTTAGGTTTCTATGTCTCAGAAATGATGTGTTCTGTCTGCCAGGATGGGTGGTGCTGCACTCTCTCCTCACCATTTCTTTCTTTCATCATTTCCTTTCCCTCGGGAGAACTTTCCTCAGCCTGTCATTCATGTAGTTCTACTGATGACACACGCTCTCAGTTTGCTTTCATCTGAGATTCACAACTTTCCCTTCATTCTTTTTACTTACTCACTTACTTATTTATTTATTTGGTACTGAGATTGAACTCAGGACCTTGCATTTGTGAGGCAGGCAGAGGCACCACCGAGCTAAATCCCTGGCCCTCCCTTCATTCTTAAAGTATATTTTTTTTCTGCATACAGAATTCTGGGTGAGAGTTATTTTCTTCCAGGACTGGAAAAGTATTATGCTACTGTTCTCTATTCTTCATAATTTCTAATGAGAATTTCACTGTCACCTGAATTATTTTTCCCTCTTAGATGTAATTTCTCTTATTTTATGCTTTTGTCTTTCTTCATGTGTAGTTTTCAAAAGTTTGACTATGATAGGTTTCAGTATGGATTTCTTTTCAGTGTTACCTTTCTAGGATTTGATTAGCTTCTTAACACTATGGGTGTATATCTCTTGTCAAATTTGACGAGTTGTTGTCATTTCTTTTAAACTGGCTTTTTTATTATGTCCCCCAGGTGTCCAAGGCTCTGTACAATTTTTTCAAGGTATATTCTTTCTGTTGTTCAGAGTAATTTCTATTGTTTTATCTTCTAGACCATTGTTTTATTTTTGTTTCCTCTTGATCCAACCCATTGAATTTTTAATTTTGGTAATTAGTTTTTAGTTTAATTTTTAATTTTCAAATTTCCAAAATACTGATTTTGTTCTTCTCTACATCTTTTTTATTGAGATTTTCTTTTTAAAATTCATTTGTTCATAATTGCTAATTAAAGCATTTTATTATAGCTGCTTTACAATATTTTTCAGACAGTTGCAATATTTCTGTCATCTCTCATTGATAGCTATTGATTTTTTTTTCTTTTTAGTTCAGATCTCCAAAGTTGTTGGTGTAGTTGAGTGATTTACATTGAAACTTGGACATCTTCATTTTAAGGTATGAGTATTTAGATCCCATATAAAACCTTTTATTTTTACGTGAATTGAATGACAATTTTCTGAAAATTAAGGGGGAGGTCTACCATCTTTTTATTGCCAGGTGAGGGCAGAATATCAGCTTCCACTCCTGAGCCCTCTCAACACTCCAGTTTAGGAGTATTCATTATTAGAGGATGAAATTCTGAACCCCATACTTCACTGGAAGTGATGGAAGACTCTTGATCCTGCTCTGCACCTGGCCAAGATGTCACCATGGCTGGAGAGAGGGTTTGGCCTTCTTATGAGTACAGCAAGTCCCCGACTTATGAACATTAGAGTTGTGAACTTTCGCAGATATGAACAGACCTAACATTATGAACATTTGTAGATACAAACAAATCGCAGAAGTAGCTCACATGTCTGCCAGACATCGTTACAGTTGTGCTGCTGTGTTCTTACTTTAAAGTGCAATAGTGTACAGTGGCACAATGCTCAGAGCCCAGGATGTATGGAAGCAAGAGAAAAAGCAGTGTTGATGTGGAAGGAACTGCTAAAGAGCACAAAGCAATAACCATGGGAACAAAGCGAAAATAATTGAGGGATTGGATTGAGGTGAAAACATGATGTGTTAATTACCTTTCTCTCACTGCCGAAACAAAATACCCAATACCAAAGTTAGAAGAGAAGGGGTTTATTTGGCTTACAGTTCATAGGATTTTCAGTCCATAATCTGCCAACTCCAAGGCAGGGATGACAAACAGGTATCACAGAGCAGAAACAACAAGGTGCACACAAGGGAGCAAAGGTAACAAGACGAAGCTGCAGTTCATGGCGACATGGCAGCCAAAGCAAAAAAAAAGAGAGAGTTTAACAGTGTCTCCCTGCCCCTTTTATCTTATTCAGACTACTTAGGGTGGGTAGCACTCACACCCTTAATCCTAGTACCCTTGAGCCTAGCACTGTATTATGAATCAATACCAGCTTCACACACTCTAGATCAAGCCTATGACCACACAAGGCTTTCGGGGGGCATCTAGACCCAAACCATAACAGATGGTACATGCTGCTTGTTCTTATGACATGAAATGTAGAAGACCAGATGATAAGGGTTGAAGCCTAATTGACCTTCTCTGCAAGCACTGAGGAAAAAACCTGGAGGCTATGTTCCTTTGAGCAACAATGAAAGCATGCTAGCACATTACGTGTTTCTCCTGGAAGAGTCAGCACAGTTGAGATCCAGTTGTTTACTGTGGCTTATGCTATAGATACTGGGAGGCAGATGACATGTCTAAGAGAATAAAAGTGACCTGAGCCAAATGCTCAGGGCTCCTGTCCACTAGAGGCAAACAGACCCTGGCCCCAACACTCTAAGTTAACTCTGTGTCTTTTTGTCTTTCATCCCCATTCACCCTCTGATCAGGAGCAAACTTGTAGGTTAGCCACCAACAATGAATCAGTCAATCATTAGCAAAATTCTAAAGGACAAGGATAAGATCCTGGAATGTGTGAAGTCTGCTGTGTCAGTGAAGTAAAAAATAATATCCACAAACCTTGGAGAAATTTCTTAACATGTGGATGCAGGATTAGCACCAGCATCAAGTCCCACTCAGCTTAATGCTTACTCAAGAAAAAACTAAAATCTTGTCTGAAGACTTGAAGAAAGAATAGGGAGAACAGTGTGCATCTTTTACTGCTGCTATGGATCATTTAATAGATTTGAGGCTAGAGCCAACCTTCACAGTGTAAAAGTAAGTGATGAGCTCACAAGTGCAAATACCATAGCTGCCCAAGAATTTCTAGCACACTTAGAGATATTATTGATGAAGGTGCTTATTTATCCCAAAAGTTTTTTAACATCAATGAGACAGGACTGTTCAGGAGAGGATGCCCAAACAAAGTTGCATTAAAAAACAGGGAAAATTGATGTCAGGGTTTAAAGCAGCAAAGGACAGACTTATTTAGTGGCGGTGCTTTCAGTGATGTGACACTAAAGCCTCTGCTAATTTACCATTTAGAGAATCCAAGAGTCCTAAAAAGCATAGCCAAGGGCTCTCTACCTGTTGTGTGGAAGAGTAACTCAAAAGCCTGGGTGACATAAGCCATTTTCCGTAACTGGGTTTTCAAGCACTTTATCCCACAGGTAGAAAAGTATCATTTGGACAAAGATATTTCACTCAACATTCTTTTGCTGCTTGACACTGACCCATGTCACCTCCAATTCATGACTGACTTCCAGCCCAATGTCAGTGTAGTGCATCAGTCTCTAAATACTACAGTGCTCATCCAACCTACGAACCAAGGAGTTATTGTGACTTTCAAGAAATATTATTTGCATCATACTTTTTTGGTCAGTGAAGGCAATTGATGAAACAGGAACAACCTTTTAACAATTTTTGAAGGGCTACAATATCGACAGGCCATAAAAAACATCAATTTAGCATGGAAGTGAGGTTTTGGCTGTCACCATTAATGATGTTTGGAAGAACTTTGTACAATTTGTTCATGGAGTTCATAAACTTGATAATAAGGGTAAAAGAGTCTAAAGAGACCCTTACCAATTTAGTGAGCCTTAACAAGAAGCTGAAGCTAGATCTACAAGATGACTTTATTGAACTCCTACTGAACTTTATTGACTTTATTGCAACACAGAGAGCTTACGAAAGAGAGCCTTATGGAATTAGAGGCTCAGCAAAAAACATAAGAAAGAGGAAGATGGAACTGAAGAACCAGAGAGAATTACAACACAGGAAACAGCGAGGGGATCTTTACTTGAAGAGGCACTGTTAGTTGTTGAGGTACAGGACCTAGTGTAGAATGATAAACAAAGGACACAGTAGCAGTTCAGAATGTCATCCAATGTACAGAGCCATCTATGATGAGGAAAAAGAGCTACTACCCAGACATCATTGAATTATTTCCTATTCAAGAAGGTAGACTGAATTGAATCCATTAAAAAAAAAACCCGTGTCATCAGTTTGTAATAGCTAAAACTTGGAAACAGCCCCTTTGCCCATCCTTTGGAGACTGGATAAAGAAGATGTGGTTTTTCTATATAATGGACTACTACTCAGCCATAAAGAATGAGAAATTAGAGTCATTCATAGGAAAATGGATACATATTGAGGATATACTCCTAAGTGAAATAAATAATTCACATATGTATAACTACCAAATAGTTTCTCTGGTGTGAAAACTATAATGTTACATAAGATCCTAATGATATAATTGGCAATGTGAAATAGGAAGAAAAGGGATAAAGGTGTAGGGGAAATGGGAAGGGTAGGGGAAAGGTAATAAAGTAAAAGGAAAAAAATGAAAAATGGAAATAAAGTATTTGTAAATAGGGAAGGGAGGAGGGGGTGACGAGATAGCAGGGATAAGGGGAAAAAATGAGAACCAAGACCTGTCATGTAAAGGTACAAGATCCCAATGATGAATGTAACTGTTCTGTATACCTAAAATGTACCAATAAACTCGATGAGAAAAAAAAACTGTGTCATCAACATCAAGTATGAATGAAAGTCCATCTTGCCCTCCTCCTTTGGCTGATGACCATTTGGCTCCTCCATTTAGCAACTCCTCTAATTAGTAACTGTCTTCTTGGCAGTTCACTCCATGAAACCCCTATATGCCAGTTGTACTGAACTGTACCACCATTTTAAGATAACTGTAAAAGTAAAAATAGTTTATTTGTAGTATTTGTGGTTGTATATGTTTGCTTTTTTTGCTTTCCATTGTATATGTGTGTCAAAGGTGTATGAAACTCTCTTTGTCAGCCTTATGAACAAATCTTACTACCGTTCTCTCAGAACAAAATTTGCTTGTAAGTTGGGAATTACCATAATCGAAAGTGAAAGTCCTCACACTCTGCTGGTCCTCTTCTGATAGGTGTGGGCTTCTTTACCCTTCACTGGGAATGAGAACCCTTGGCCTCCTCTGATCCCACTTACGTGTGTGAGGGCTATTCCAATGTTGCACAGCCGCCTTTCAGAGGAAGCCTATGCTCCCTATTTGGCCTTTGCTGGCATGGGTAGGAGTGGAACCACAGCTTGGTCTGCGCATGATGTTTTGAGTAAAGTCACTGTGGTAAGTGTTTATGTCTTCTTAGACTGCCCCTTTCCTGGTGTGGCTTGACAGAGAAATCTTTCCTTGAGACATTCATTGCCTGCTTCCAATGTATTTTCTGGAGTCTGAATTCTTCAGGTCCATGTGTCAGTTGTACAAGAATAAAACAAAGCCCAGAGAAGTCATCATCATTTTATTCCTTCAGTCCAATGCCACTGCCTTTGCTCCATATTTGAGTCCAGAGATTTTATTTGTACAACTAGTTGTATGTTTAAAAACAAAAATTATGAGCCATTTTTTATTTATTATCATGGGCTACCCTGGTAAAAGAAATAACCATGAAATTCAAACGTTGCGTGCTAACTGGCAGCATGTGGATACACACAGTGTCATAAGAACATAGGGAAATCAAATTATACTTCACATGCTTTTGGAATTTAAAGGAGGGGACTTTTTTTAGAGGAGAGATTTTCCCAGTAAGAAAACTTGAGAGTTGGCTGTGTTCACCATGAAGTACTGATCATCTATGTGTCCCTCCTCTCATTTTCTTTTTTCTGAGTTGATGTCTGTTATGTACAGAGATATTTTTTTAGGAGTCTTATCACTGTCACTGCTGCTGCAGACCATTACAAAAATAGCAATGTCTGTTCCAAGGATGCTATTTCTAGATGATGAAAACTTATCTGTCGAGTTTCTGGGGAGCTCATTCTCTCTCTCTCTTTCTCTCTCTCAAGAGAATGTAAAGCTTTCTGCTCCACTTTGCTCTACCCTTGGTTGCCTGGACTATGAAGTACAGCTTTACAAACAAGGCAAACAATCCTGACGGATATTTTGTCTTGTCATTTTTCTACCTGCAGACCTACTCCCTGATCTCTTCTCTCAGGCTCTGTATCACAAGGACATGTACTTTGTTATAGTTATCTTTCTCTTACTATGAAAAAATTCCTGAGATAACTGGTGTAAAAAGAGGAATCAAGGTGTGAAGATTTCAATCCACGATCTTTTGGCTCCATTGCTTTTGGGCCAGTGGGGAGGAAGGTCATCATAGTGACAGCACACAGCAGAGCAACTGCTTTGTCTTATGTCAACTGGGAAACGAAAGAAAAAAAGGAAAGAGAGGGACCATAGTCCTGATATTCTTTTCAAGGTCATGCCTCCATATGACCAGAAGAATCCAGTTAGGCCCCATCTCTTCAAGTTTCCAACATGTCCTAACAGTACCATGCACTGGGCATGAAGGCATTAACACAAAGGCCTCTGGAGGACACATCAAAAGTATAGCATTTATCTAGGCTCCTTCTCCTCTAACTTTTGCAGAGATTCAGCCTAGGGTAAGAACAGAGGAGTAGAGATGAAAGCTGAGTACCTCTCCTCTCTCTGCTTCAAGTGACACCTTCTATGGCATGCATTTATCCTCTGTGGTTCCAGCTCCCACTGGCCAGCTCTTTTTCCTAAGGTCCAAGCTTGCTGAGCAGATTGAATATGATTGCATTTTCTCCTATGTGGACCTAACTCCTGGGTTCCACTGAAATACCCCTCCTCTTTCTTCCTGTCTTCTTAAGGTTTCTAGTATCTTTTTAGTTGTTAATTTTAAAGCTGTGTCACTCCCCAGCTTCTACCCAATTTGGCTTCTTTATTCTACATCACCTGTATCCAGGTGCATGCACTGAGTTTTCTCTGAAATACCTACGATGATTTCTGTGTTTTTGAGAAGACTTCAGTTGTTTGATTTATCAAAATAAAGGCCATGTTTAACAGTTTGATAAAAAATATGTAGGTCCTTGAGTGAACCAGTAAGCCATATAGTAACAACATATCAGGGTAGGATCAATTTGCTTTTTTTTTTTTTTTTAACATTAGGCTACTTATTAGGTACAAGGTCCCCATGTGACTCAACCCTATAAAAGCAAGTATAACTTAGTCCATGTCATAGAGTTATAGAGTTGTGCAGTACACACTGGTTATTTGAACCTGACGACCCTGAGTGGGTAGACCAGCGGTGGGGAACCTATGGCATGTGTGCTGCAGTGGGCTGTTTGTATCACTGAAAGCTCTAAAAGGTTCACCATCACTGAGGCAGACATTGTCCAAATTTCAATTTTATTTGGTAGTAATATCTGTGTATTAGTAAGACCAGAGTAAACCCTGAGAGATAGGAAGAAATGACAGTAGCCCAATTTAATGAGTAGTTTTCCCACGTAAATGTCAGCTGAGATGCACCCCAGAGCTGATATGGCTGCTCTTCTCCTCAAAGTCCATGGATTTCCAGAAACTTCCAGCTCACTAGCATAGTATCCTTGGAATATATACTTCATTCTTATCATCCACGATGCCTCCAGGCAGTAGAATAGAAGGAACCAAAAACCAACAACAAAAGAAAAATACCAAATAAACAAAGAGTGCAAAGGCTATGGGAAATGCCAAATGTCTCTTAAGGGAGACTAATTAGCCACTATGACACCCTGCTTACATCCCTTTGGCAGCGCTTTCAGGAGTCACAGTAGTGGTGTGGGTTGTTCTATGTCTGACCTATGGTTACCTAGAAGGAAGAGAGAATTAGTTCTCATATTTTGAGGCTGGTGCTCTGGCCTTAAAACTATAGAGACCTGTAAGAAAAAAAAGAGACTAAATGAGAAATCTAGAAGGACAAGCATTCAGTGCTAGATTTTTTGAAATAGAAAATTAGTTTAAAATCATTCAGCTAGTTTATGAGAAATGTAGGACAGAAAACCAGATATATGCTTCCCAAGGACAGTTATCTTTCTCCTTATGACATGTTAAATATGAATAAACATGACCACAAATTCTTTGTAGCTCCTTCCCTCAAGTGGAGGAGTTTTTCAACCCCTTTAATACCAACTAGTTATGAGATTTGCACTCAGCAATAGACTGTGGAAGTAGCGATGTTGTATGACTCTCAAGTCCAGGTCTCCAGAGCCTCACAGCTGCCATCCTTAAATTCTTGGAATCCAGTTTCCATGGGAACTAGCCCAGCTAGCCTGTGATAGGTGCTGCATTGGAGGAGATCCCAGGCACCTTGGCCAACAGACCCTGCCAACCATTAAATATGGGAGTGAGACCATCCTGGATTTGGCCACGCTTAGCTGGCCTGTCATGCAAAACCAAACACATAAAACAACACACTCAAACTGCACTGAAACTGTTAGTCTATAGACTGGAGAAACAATGAATCCTGAATTCTTCATTTGGAGGGGAAGCATCATTGGGGAGCTATTGTAGACCAATGAAAATCTGATGCACTACCCACTACCTTAATCATTTTTCCTGTTTTCTTAGAGGCCTTTATAAAGAGAGACAACAACCCTTGTTCCATTATTTTGTTTTCTGTTGTTCAAAAGGGGGAAATTATTGTCATTAATCCTTTATGTAAGGCAGAGTACCTACTGAACATTGAACAAAATCAGGCAGTGTTAAATGTTTTATTGTATTTGTATTAATAAGAGATTTAATTGATATAATGCTTAAATGTAATTTTCTCATGTTTCACATGTTCAACAAAGGAATGAAGTTCTTTGTCATTGGTCACATAGGTAATGTGACTGGCTTCTTAATGGGTATTCAACTCTGTAGGGTGCATACAGATTTGACTTTATTCTTTCTTGCAGCTATTCCTGCAAAACCTGCTCTATCAGCTTGTTCATCACCTCTGGGTGAAACCTTAGGCATGCCTGGTGGTTTTTCCAGATACTCTGGGTAATAAGATATCCTTAGGTCACTTACAGGTAATTTTAAACAGTAGTCTAATCTACCACCAAAATTCTGGATTATTGTCTCAAATTCTTTCTTTTTTTCCAGCTTGCATTTGTCTCAGACTTGGAGACTGAAGTGGAAAATACAAGTCATGGTCAGTATCTTCTTCTTTTCATTACTTACCTCCATTCTAACTTGCATGATTTTTTTTTTTTTTTAGTTTCTTCTAAGTTAGTGCTTTGGAAAGAAGTATGAAGTGGAATAGGCTTTATTTTCAATCTGATCCTGGATCCCACAGAAGGAGAATGATGTCCATTGTTTTTGTTTTCTTGTCTAATGGGTCTCATGTGGGCTCTTAATCTTCCTAGCAATCTATAACTTAAGACTTCTGAACTGGATCATGTTTCCCTGGCTTCATAATCCTCCTTCTTCTTTTCCATCCAACAGTGTATGTCAGCCTCTTCCTGCAGGTCATTCTTTCTCCTGTAGGAAGCACTCAAGCATGTGTATTTCAATGCAGGTGCAAGCATGCATGCTCATGGCCAGCTGTCCTATAAGGACCCTATGCAACATGGAAAGTGCATGGAGAATGTACATCTGTGGAATGCATTTTGTATATAATGTGGGGTCCTTGCTGTGCCATCTAAATGAGGGTACCCAGAAGTCAGAAATGACTCATGTGATCTTTTTATATGTGATGTGATCCAAGTTAATCTCTTGAACTTTCTCACTCAGCTGGAGGTGAGAGGTAAATAGGATTCATGGTGAAGGAAAGGAATACCATAGTATCTCAAAGCTCCTAGTACAGAACTCCACTATTTCAGTGAATTCTTAGTCTTTTCCTATATTCCACTGAAATGTGAGACAAACCCAGAGTGGAAAAGCCAGATGTGTTCACAATCTCTAATCTTCATTGTATAAATAGTCTGATACTGTAGTACTGCTCTTGGGAACTTGGAAACAATATAAGTAAACATGTGCAAGAGGGCCAGGGATTTAGCTCAGTGGTTTGGTGGCCCGCCTTGCAAGCCCAAGGATCCGAGTTCAATCCCTGGTACCCCCCCCAAAAAAAGTGCAAGTGATGACAGCTTATCATTAGTTATTTGCATATAATATGCAGAGAAATGAACAAAACACACATTATTTTATTTAGTCCTTACATCAGTCTAATAAAAGGAAATGTAATTGTTTTACAGATCAAGAAAGTTAAGGATAAAGAGAGATTTTTCCTTAAGTCTATAAGAACATAAACTGTTATAAGTCACTTTTAAACCAACTCAAGGCTTCCTAGATCTTAAATTTCTGCTCTCTACACAGGATCACGCAACTTCTATCTAAGATGTCCATCGAACATACTGAATGTGTCTGTTTTATATCAGGTGAAGAATGACAGAGTTGAGACTGACAGAGCTGGAGGAGGTTATACCCCAGGGAAGATGTGGGCCAGAAATCCAAAGAGGACAGATCGAGAGAGAGAGAGAGAGAGAGAGAGAGAGAGAGAGAGAGCATCTGAAAGTCTCTCTTAAGAGTTCCAGGTAAAATTTAGACAGTAAAGGAGATGGAAAGTTATGGACTAAGATATAACACAGGTGTGTGAGTGTGTGTGTGTGTGTGTGTGTGTGTGTGTGTGTGTGTGTGTGTATCTGAAAGTCTCTCTTAAGAGTTCCAGGTAAAATTTAGACAGTAAAGGAGATGGAAAGTTATGGACTAAGATATAACACAGGTGTGTGAGTGTGTGTGTGTGTGTGTGTGTGTGTGTGTGTGTGTGTGTGTGTGTGTCAGGGGGAATAAGAAGAATAAGTAAGGGAAAGAGCTTCCAGGATTGGTGATACATATATAATTCTCACTTTCATTTAAATTTTTAAAAATGTAGTTGTGGTAAAATATTTGTAAAAAAATTATAATTTTAATTTTTAAGTGTAAAATTCAGTGGCATTAAATATATTCCCAGTGTTGTGCAACTCATCCATGTCCAGAAGCTTTTCCACACTGAAATTCTGCCCCATTAAACACCAGATCCCCATCTTCTCCTCCTACTCTCCTGGGAAAAACACTTTTGACTCTCTGCATTTCACTTATATTTGATATTTATCTACACATATTAAATTTCATGAAAATGTTAGATCCACCATTGTTCAGCATTTGTTTATTTCTGTGTTGTGGGATAGTTAGGGGCTTATATTTTTTTAAAAAAAACAGTCACGAACAACATTCCAGTCATTATAGCTTTAAGTAAATCTACTGTCAGTTTTTTTTCACATTGACTGTTTTGTGCCAGCAAACTCGGTGATTAGCTAAAAAACATTGTCAGTGGCAGAGGTTCTAACTTAAGGATCAAGGAATTGGGTCAGATATTGTGAGTCTTTGGTCATATAGGAGACCAGACACAGCTGATAGTTTTTGTCAAGAACCATGGCTATTTTTACCCTTGTTTATTTAAAGCCCACATTGCAGTTGAGTGATGAACCTATAGTAGAACATTAATTTTCACCTTGTAAGTTACACACAAGAATTATACATATATGACCAGATGATCTAACTGCTTGTGATACCGTAAGGAATACTAATTCTTCCTTGCAAGTGCAAGGTCCTGAGTTCAATCCCTGGTCCCCCTGAAAAATGTTATACACAAGAAATATAAATAGTTTTTATGTGCTATCAAAAATAAAATAATGAATTTTTACAATTTCTAAAGAAATTAAAAAAGATCTATGGGTATCAAGATGAATAGTAGGATTTTATCTGTCTTCCAGGTGAGAAAGATCCAAGGTGATATTTAAGCCAAGATCCCTAGTGTGTACCCACAACTATGTCTGTGTTGGAAGCTCAGGCTTCAAGTCTGAAAGACCAGGTGGTAGGCTGAAAAGAAAGGATAGAGTGAGGAATATCGAAATGATGAGAGTGTTACACGTTTTTATTTTTTACATAAAAGCTAAGATGGCATTTTGCCCATGGCATGAGTAGGTAAGTTCAAAAGTTCATAGGCGAGGAAATGCTACACTGTCATAAGGCCTGAGATGCCCTGCAAGGCTGAAGGGCACTTGGAGGATCACTATCCATGTGAGAGAGTATTTTTAGTTACCTTCTTTTCAAAGAGCAATTTTAGTATCCCAGAACTCACCCCCTGCGGTCTGTGTCTTCTTGTCAATCACTAGTAGTACTGCAATATCAAGAATTACTCTGTTCCTTCAGAATCATGACAATTACTCATGGTAGAGAGCTTCCTAGATGTTCTCACTGTAGTCAAATGATCTGGGAAGTAAATTGCCACAGCTGTACATACACAGCTGGGTATCACACTATATAGATAAATGTCTTGTCCTTCATTTTCATACCTGAAGCACCATAGATAGTAGATGATTATTCATGACATCAGAGGGCACTGTCTTTAGAGGGTAAAACTGTATATTGAGAATTTTGAGAATAATGGTCCCTAAAAATATTGCATAAAAAAGATCAACCTGTGAAAGAAAAGGCAAGTTAGACAGAGCAAGAAGTTTCCCCACATGTATGAAGCTTAGCACCTGGGAAGCTCAATTATTAAAGCATTGGTTTAATTCTTAGTTCTCATAATTATTGATTTTATAACTTTGAATAAACTGCATTTTCTACATATCTCAGCTTTCTCAGCTATAAAATAGAGAAAATAATAACTTACCTCCTTCATACAATTGCTGTGATGAATATGCACAAAGCATTTAATACGTTCCTGGCTCTGAAAAAGTAGATGCTATTGTTATTATTACTACTGATATTTTGATATTCCTATGCTTTAAGCAAAAAGATCTTGGACTTAGATGGGAGAGGAGAAATAATGCAAACAGGAAGCAAAGTCTGCAAAGATAAATTTAGTGGTTGAACCTTGAGCCCTGGCTGTTGGCACCCTGCTCCTCACCACTCAACTCCAAGTGGTGGCTGCAGAACTTGCAAGGCTGGATGTGGCTGGGTGGGGACTGGAAACAGAAGGGGAAGCTGTACTCCAGAGGCAGCTCTCAGCGCTGAGGTTGTCAGAGGTGGTCAGATATGAGCAGTAGGGGATGGTCAGGGAAGGCCAAGTCAGCACAAGCTGTTATTTCTGATAATGGGAGATGTGTGTGGGGCCAGGGTGTGAAATGGCCTGAACCAACTGAAAAAAGATTCTAAGTGGAGAGGTGATCCCAACTAACCACAAAGGAGAACTAGGAACTTTTCACTCAGCAGAATATGCACCCTAACTGCCCTGGGTGGCCTGGGGTTGGCCTTTCCTCATTACTGTATGCTTAAGGCTTCATCCATATCCACAACAACTCATGCATCCTACTGGTTACCGATAAATATGGGAAAACACATGCACAGTTCCAAATTGAAAGCAGGGCAAGAGTAAAGCATGGAGTGTTCAAGATAAAGCATGGAATACTTAAAACAGGAAATGTACAAAATTGAAAGCAGGACAAAGAAACCTAGTGTTGCTCACTCTGTGGTGTTTGCAACAAACTCTTTTGCTTCAAAAACACTTCCTCATTTGAACATGGTATATTGACATTGTGTGGTGGTCCCAGTGAATTCATCTCCTTGGCTCACCAAGAACCAAGAAAGCCCAGGTGATAATCTGGGTAGAGAAGAGGTAATCCAGTAGGCTCTTTTGCCACCCATGGTTGGCTCAGCTTCTCCAACAAGGATAGAAACTAAGTGCAGATTGTAACAGCGGTCCTCAAGCTAACATTACACAGCACCCACCTGCCACAGTGTACTCCTGTGTATCAGCACCAGTTGTAACCAGCTGACTTCTCCAGTCACCAGTTTGCTCTTACCTAGTCTGAGGTGTCCCCATTACCACTTTCCTAGGGAGAGACATCAACTCAAGGGATTCACTGATAGAGGAGTGGAAAACAGTTGAAGGAAGATAGGTGTTCGTGCTTAGAGTCCTGGGCTGCCTGAGGACAAGAAGGCACTATTGCTTTGTAGCCCAAAGGACCAAAGGCTTCTGTAATCCTGGACATCATTTTCCCTCAGGCCCATCCCCACGCTCACCCTTAACCAAGACTCCGCTTTCCTACTGCTGGCATCACTGTTCTCATAGCCTTGTAGAAATGTGACTTGGAGCTCATCCGTGAGTCTATCATAACACTTCCCATCAATCAGTGTCCGTGGCTTGATTCTCTTGCATGAAGTTTTCTTTCTAGGCACTCCTCCCCATTTGCCAGCATCCCAGGCCAGGCCCTCACTTGCTGTTTTCTGCAACACTACAGATAGGCACTGTCATTGTCTTATATTCAGTCAGTCAAGGTCTCCTATACCACTTTAGCCTTCCTTAGATATTATTTCTTCCTATCACACCCTCCACCAAAGCTTCGTAGTTTTTAATGCCTTATGTTCTACTGCATGAAGTTATAACTTCCTTTCATGAAAGGAAAATACTATGGCCCCAGTTGACACCCTAGTTTTCTCTACTTCTCCATCTGTGGAGCTTCCTCCCCCACACCCACCTCCATCCCCATAAGTGCACCCTGGCCCTAGCACAGCACTGCTGCTCTCAGGAAATCTTGCCAGGATATCCTTACCATGGCCATCCTAATGAATTCCATTTGGCCTTGGCTGAGGACACAGAAACTGATAAGGAACCATGCTCTTAAAGGTATATTTGCTTTACTGAAGCTACAGATGTGGACTCAGTATGATGTGGGAAAGACTTTCCCACATGAAACTCAACTCATTCCTACTGACATTTATAAAGCATCTGAGGTGGATGTGCAGAAAAAAAAAATACCATACCTGCCACCAAACAGTTTTCCATCAGCAGATGGATGAAGATGAGAGCCATCAGTTTAACAGAGTGCAGAGTAGAGAAAGAGGCTATGCAGAGTTGTTGCAGGTCGGAGTCCCTGTGAGGTGGCATAGGAAAGTATTACCTTCATTTTCCAGATGACAAAATTGCTTACCTGCCTGAGAGTTTAAGTGGCTTGTTTATTGTCACAGAGCTAATAATTAGCAGATCCAGGGCTCCTGGGTGGATGATCTTTGTAATGCACAACTCTGCCTACAACCAGCAGGGCCATGAACCCCGGGAAAGCAGCAATTAGGCATGCTTGGGAACAGTGTGAATGAACAAGGAGCTGGGGGCCCTCCCTGGTAAGACAGAATTTGTCCTGGGAATGACAGTAACCAAGAGATTTCAATCAAATAAAAAGGAGAGAGGGGAGGATATTCTGGAAATAAAGGAACCTAGTGAAAAAGGTCACAGAGCAGGGTAAAGGAGCAGACATAGTCTGCTCAGCTGATGAGGATGCCTCCCTCTTCCTCCCTGAGAAGCTGAGATAAACAGGAAGGAGAGGCCTGAGTGTCTCCCACAGATAAACAGGCTCCACCCAGAGCCAACAGTGCCTGTGTCTGGGACAGAGTGGGAGAGGACAGAAGTGCTCCTCCTCCAAGAACATGGAAGTGGGCCTGGGAAGAGGGGAGGCCGTTTCCTCAATCCCAGCCCTTAGCACCAGCACCTAGAGCTGAACCAGGAAGATCCTGGGAGCTAAAGACAGACAGATGGCAAGTGTGTCTTCGAAACAGCCTCGGTGGAGCTGGCTCCTAGGGTGGGCTGTGGGGTCGGGTGGGTGAGTGCCCTACCCCCGCTGGAGAGGAGGGAATGTAAGGCTTCCAGAATGGACAAGGGAAAGGCCAGGACAGTGAAGGTGAGGGAGGGAAGGTGGTCCAGCCAGGGAGAGGTTCGTTCTGAGGCCATCTAGAGACACTGCCCCAGCACAAACATATGTGAATGTGGGAGGTGGGCGGAGAGAGGGCTGTCAGAATGGTCTGCTAAAACTGTCTTTACTGCATCCTCTTCCTGAACCAGCTTCTCTCTCCTCCTCCTTCTTCAATATACTTCAGGATGGTGGGAACAAAAGCAGGCCGGAGCCAAGGGAACCGAGCCAGGCCAGAGGAATGGATCCATCCTCCTGCCAGTACTTCAGGATGGTGGGAAGAAAAGCAGGCCGGAGCCAAGGGGACCGAGCCAGGCCAGAGGAATGGATCCATCCTCCTGCCAGGAGGTCAGTGGGCTCCTAGGCAGCCCTGGGTGTTTCCCCTCCAGCTCTGAAGCCCCAGGAACACTCACTACTTTATCCTCACCCAGGCAGGAGCCCCCTCATCTCCCAGGGGTCTCAGCCTGAGCAGAGTTACCTTTGTGCAGAAGAGGGGCCCTGGCACTGACATTTGTTCTCTCTCCCCTCCCTACGTCTCCACCCTGTCCCTCACTCCCAACCCTCTCTGTCTTGTTTTTCTCTCCTCCTGTTTGCTCCCACAGAGATCTCCAGAAGAAGGGCTGTGCACTAAGTGGAACCAACAGTGGGCAACGGCCAGATGGGTGCTGCTGACTCTCCTGCTTTTGGGCCTGCTCCTTGGTTCTTCTGTGCTTTGGTTCTACATCTTCAGGAACTGTGGTCCTCGTAAGCAAAACTCAGGAATCCCCAACCTAGACAGCTTCTCCCAGTTAGGGTCCCAGGCCCATGTTCTTGAGGGTCCAGGCTTCTCACTAGCCGTTCACCCTGACCCTCACATTCCCCAGGGATTCTGACTTTTTCCTCCCTTGATCCTTTGTAAGCCACTAGTCAGACCTTTGCTCAACTGGTCACTCCTTTGTTTCTCACCAGGCATTCTTGTGCTAGCCTTTTGGGGGAGCCCTTGTCCCTTTCACTTTTGCCTTACTGTGACCTGTTGCCCACAGTCCCCTGTGAGACACCTGTGTGTTTGCATCTCCTGAACTATTACCTGGCCTCTGGGAACAGCAGCGTAGCTCCCTGCACCAACTTCTTCAGCTTTGCCTGTGGAAAGCCTGGAAAGACTGTTAATTCTTTTCATGCTCTTGAAGACGAAAACAAAAGCCTACTGCGGAGAGTCCTAGGTAGGAAAGCAGAGGGGCAGAGTCACTGGGCAAGAAGGGAATTGATCTAGCACCATCATGACTCCCTACACTCTGAGGAGCAACTGATGTTCACCATCTTTCGTGGACCTGTCTGGGTTTGCTTCTTCATCAGTTTCCTGAAACCTCAAAATCCTCCTTTCTTCCATTTATGCTGGTCTTTTTATATATCTTTTCTTTGTCTAATTCCCGTTTTCTTTTCTATGTATCTATGATTCCTCCATTCCCTTTAACTTCTTTTTAGCAAGGCTCATCTTTGTTATTTTCTATAAATTTTGTTTCAATCCTATGCATATCTTCCCCCACTCCATCTCTTCAGTGCAGCCTGAACTTAATTTTCTCCATAATCACATCCTCCAGCTTCCAAGTGTGTTCTTCTGGTGCCTCCTCATCAGTGTCACCTTCTCCTCCCTCCACTTCCCAAATCCCCTGTCTCCCAGTGATCTCTTGCTTTTCCTCTGAAACCTTGGGCCATGGCAAGCAAGTTGAATTGGAGCAAATAGGGTCATAGAGATGGGTGACTGAGAGGCTGAGCTTGGAGAAAAGAGGCAGGAGAGTAGGACTAGGAGGGACGGAGGGGGGCATTACTGGTGGCATAAGGGAGCAAAGGATATGCCAGTGAGAGACAAGTTAAATGGAGGTAAAGAAAGTTTTCAAAATGAAGGGTGTGAAGAAGAAAAACCAACTGCTGGGATTGAAAAGAACCAAGAGAAGGTCCTGAGGTCATATAAGAGGTTGGATGTTGAGGGAGGATGGAAGAGAATGTTATATATTAGGAGGTAGATGGTTTAAATGGAAGCATTCCAGTGATTGGAATGTTTGTTTGTTTGTATTAAGTGATAAGAAGAAGTTCAGATAAGTGAATCTTCCTTTTCTTCTCTTCACTAAATTTTCTCATGAGTTTTCTCTCCCACAATCTCTCAAAATCTTCTGGTTTCCTAAATTTTTCTAATTTTTTCATTAATCTCTTCCCTGAGTTCCATTTCTATCTTTTGTCCTTCACTCATATCTTACTTATTCTTATTCTTTTCCTTTATTCTGACAGTACTTCCTGATTTCCTTTTCTCATTTCCTTTATTTTTCTCATCCTCTTTTCTGTACTTCCTCTCTCTTGCTCTTACCTCTCCATCAAGTCAGTCTGTTCTAAGTTGGGTAGACTTTATATTTTCCTCAGCTTGGTTTCCCGCTCTTTCCTGCACATCCTTATAGGGAGCATCCTGTTCTTTCAGACAAGTTCGCTATCTCCCATTTTTCTCTGTCTCCACACCAGCCGCCACTCCTTTCATCATACTATATTTCCTTTTTAGAGACCCCAGGGTCCTGGCACCCTGGCTCTGGAGAAGAGAAAGCCTTCCAATTCTACAGCTCCTGCATGGACACAGATGCCATCGAAGCTGTAGGAACTGGTCCCCTCAAACAAATTATTGAGGAGGTGAGGAAATGTTGGGGCACCACCTTTTTAGGGTAAGTAACACGTAGAACTGATGTGGGCTTGAAGTTTCTAGGTGTTTTTTTCTAGAATTCTCTAAGTTCTAGGAGAGAGATGGTAATGGCAGTGCCTTTTTGAGCATCATGAGCTACTGTGAGAATAGATGTGAAGTCCTAAAAGGATCAAAGGTCTCAAAAATCAGGAGATAGAAGAAATGGGGGAGGAGAAACCCAGACAATGGAGGCAAGTTCTCATCCATCCTATGCTCAACTTTATCTCCCTTCTCAGCTTGGAGGCTGGAACATTTCTGGCAAATGGACTTTCTCTGACTTTAACCAAACTCTGGCACTTATGATGAGCCAGTATGGACACTTTCCCTTCTTCAGAGCCTATCTGAGGACTCATCCTTCCCCTCCCCATGCACCAGTCATCCAGGTGAGAGAGCCATTGGCGAGAACATTTGGAACTAATCCTGCCTTTGCCTTTAGAGTGTCTTCTCTTAGAGAAATATAGTAGCGTGGGGAGATAAGATAAATGAGAAGAAGATGACGAGTGATCTTAAGAGGAAATGACTGCTATGAAATCCAAGGACGCTAGGTGGAGGTTGGAGAAAGAGTAGCTGGGCGGGTTCTGGAAAAACTGGAGCAGTTCCAGCCTTCCTTATCGTCTACTCTGGATTTCTCCCAGATCTCTTAACTAGTTCTCTCATCCTCATGATTGCACTCCTCTCACCTCCTCTTCATTTTTGCTAGTTATGCTTTTCTAAACCAAGAGCTAATTATACGTTTTCTCTGTTTAAATGCCTCTTATTTCTATGGATCACCAGGTCATCACACTATGGTTCCAATCTTTAGCAAAGCGTTGTCAGGTTTGTGATCTGATCCCTATATACTGCTCCAGCCCTATCTCCTATCTCATTCCTCCTGCCCTGCTCTGCTGACTCATGCAGCTCCAAGAATATTCCTCCATTATTCTTATATGCTGTTTCCTTTGCTTACAACAAGCCCCCACACTCAGCCTAGAACATTCACATATTTTCAGTTTTGCTCTGGGTATCTCTTCCAGGAAATCCCCACTAATCCACTGTCTATGAGTAGTAGGTAAAGCCTGTCTGTCCTCCCTGCTCCTCATGTTCTCAGCATTAAGACTGTGGATCTCCTCAGAACACGTACCTAAAGTCCATCCTCCGGAGACAGCTGGAGCTCCTCCTCCTCTAGCAACTAGAGATCTTCCTCCGGCAGCTAGAGGTCTTTCTTCTCAGGCAGCTAGGGGTCCTTCTCTTTACAAACCTAGAGTTCCTCCTCTGGCCTCTAGGGATCCTCTTCCTCAGGCAGCTAGAGTTTCTCTTCCTTAGGCTGCTAAGGGTTTGTTGAGTGAATAAATATTGGAACCATCACTCAGGGGAGGGCTATATATTTGTCCAGTACTCTCAAAAATTCCACATGATGAGCAAATGAATATTTTAAAGTACCTGATCATCAGTTTGAGGCTGCTTTGTAAGAGCTTTCTAACATTCCATTTTGAAGTGTCAGGAGTTTTTTTGTTTTTGTTTTTGTTTTTGTTTTTTTGGTTCTGTGGATCGAACTCAAAACTTTGTACTTGAGAGGCAGGCATGGTACCACTGAGATAAATCCCTGGCTCTGTGTGTGTGTGTGTGTGTGTGTGTGTGTGTGTGTGTGTGTTGATGTGTGTGTGTGTGTGTGTGTGTTCAGGAATTTTAACTGGTAAAGCCTCTGGGGATGGATTAAGATCTGAACTGGTTAAGGAAAATCTCAGAGAGAAGAATATGAGCTGAGTCTTGAAGTATGGTTGATTTTCTTATTAAAAGGCTTTGGGAAAATTTGGTGCTAAGAGAAGAATTTTGAATGTTGTGATTCCTCCATGGGGTCCATGAGATGATTGCTCTGGGTGTATGTAGTATGCAGTAGGAGGACAAATAAGACCGAAGATATGAGGTTAGGCCTGATTAACACTGTCTTGAGAAGCCAGGTAGAGATGATAACTATTGATACACTAAGAATAAAGAGCTACTGAGAGGCCTTTCAGATATCAAGGTCTGATACGTAGTGCTGAGGGGCATTCAGCAGTCTGGTAGTCAATCTAGAGATAATGTGGATTCTAGATGAACATTTTAAGGTTCTTCAATCGAAGTAGAAAGGGAAAGGAAGGGCCAGGCATGGGGATTTAGGAAACTTCATCCTGGTGGTAGAGGACCCTGGTGTTTCCAGAGAATGTGGCTACTGAACATAAACAAAGGAGATGGACACTGAAGGACCCCACAGCTTTGATTTGGTGTGAAAGGAGAGTGGTTATCCCCAAGTTGAGCCTGGTTGTGGTCTTTGGGAAGAATATGTAGATATGAGCTGTAGTAGAAGCACCCATTAGGGCATGGGACAGAAGGAGAGGAACAGAAGAGTAAGAACAGCCAGGGATTTGGGAATTGGACCAGCATACGTGGGACTACAAAGGGAAGGGAAGGAATCTCAAGCAGGAGGGGTCATTGTTGAATCCAGAGATGATCCTACTCAGAGAATAAGGAACGAGAAGACATCACCAGAGACCTGGACATACATAGTGTAAAAATGACTGTAGCAATGTATAGTGTTAGGAGATGGGCATAGATGCCTTTTTGCTCTCTGAATTTTGGATGCTAAATGTCACAGAAGGCTCAAGGGAAGATTTTCCGTGACAGAGAAGTCTATAGCTCAAGTTTGGAGTGAGACACTGACACCGGGAGAGACAAAGCAAAGTGACCCAAAGATCTTCAGAATCCAGGGCACACCAGGACCAGAAGTTAAGTGAAATGTGTGGATTCTTGCTTGAGGTGCAAAATTTAAGAGGGCTGCAAACACTAGGTATTAGGATAATTAGTATTTTAATAAATCCTCTTAAAAACGAAAATTAACAAAGATTTTTTGATGAGCAAATAGCAAATTTTTGTCAATTCTGGATATTTTGGAAAATAAAATGGCATTTTTTTTCAGAATGTAGAAAAGCTATTATGGAACTTTTAAAAATATAATTTAAAAAATAGATTAAGATACATTATGAGGCAGGGTATGGTGGCTTATTCTGAAGGCTGAGGCAAGAGTATTGAAAGTTTGAGGCCAGCCTGGGAAACTTAGTGAAATCCTGTCTTCAAATTAGATAAAAAGGGATAGAGATGGAGCTCAGTATTAAAAGCACTTGTCTAGCATTGTGAGGTTCTGTGTTCATTCCCCAGAATGTAAAAGTATAAAATTTATGGGGAAAATAATAATAAGCAAAACTTTGATATTTTATTCATTGTGGAATTTTTGTGTTAATTTCGATTTTAAATATTGCATTACAAATGCATCCTTTTTACTAAGTTTGAGGTACCTCTTAATTATTGCACCTGAGATGGGGATCTCACCCTTAGACCTGACCCCAGAATAGGGCATAGGTTCCTCCAAGATGTCAATGAACATTTTTCTTGTCCCCATCACCGAAACTGATTGTCATTGACCTTCCTTTGCATTACTATGCCTGGACTCTCCCCCACCTCACTCAGTCCCTCCCGCCCTTCCTTTGCACTCCTCTCCACTCGCCCCTCTACTCCCTTCTTCCAGAGCTATCTTCATTCCCCGCCTTCCCTTGACCTCTCTCCCCATCCCCCATACTCCCACTTCTTTCCAGTCTCTCTTGTGTCCAGATAGACCAGCCGGAATTTGAAGTTCCCCTCAAGCAAGAGCAGGAACAGAAGATCTATGCCCAGGTAAGATGGGGCTTTGACAGAAACATTCTGAGACCAGGAGAAAAGCAGAGCCTCTGGCTCCTGTGACCGATGTTACCATCTTCCAGATCATTCGGGAGTACTTGGCTTACCTACAGCAGCTGGGAACACTGCTGGGAGGTGACCCAGCGAAAGTGCAACAACATGCCTCCTTATCCATCTCCATTACCTCACGGCTGTTTAAGTATTTGCGGCTCCTGGAGCAGCGACAGTCACAGGACAAGCTCTTCCATGTGCTCACTATTGACCAACTTCAGGTGCTTGGAACTCCAGGCCCCAGCCCTGTGGGTGGGACGGTCTCCTGGACTTCCTTTTGTCTTACCTTCTTCCTCGTGAGGAGCCTTAATTCTTTCCAGTCCCTACCCTTTTCTGACCCCATCCCCTTTACCAACACTCCCTGTCCCATTCCTTCTCAAGCCCATGAAGCCTGTTCCCCTTCCTTGTCTCCTCCCTTCCTTCTCTCTATCAGCTTTGTGTTCCTCCTTTAAGGAAATGGCTCCTGCCATCGACTGGTTATCCTGCTTGCAAGAGACATTCAAACCGATGTCCCTGAGGCCCTCCCAGGCCCTTGTGGTTCATGACCTGGATTATTTGAGAAACATGTCACAACTGGTACAAGAAGAGATGCTGAAGCACAGGTTTGCCCCAAGTGGCATTGGGAGGTAATGGAATGAAGAAAGAGTTTGGGGATCCATAAGTCTCAGAGGCACTCTGGATCAAGGAACCTGAAACACAAGTGTTCAGAGAGGGTAGATGGCAGGAACAAGATGTAGGTAAGGCTTGGGAACAAGGGGAAGGGATAACAGCTGATGTGAAGGTACAGAGGTCAGACAAGACACAAGGTCTGTAAAGAGCTTCTGTGCTATAGAATGTGCCAGAAGTCTCAGTCAGTGGAACAACTGAGGGCTGTGGGCAAGAGTAAGAGACCCTAAGGAGATGTAGGAGGTGAGGGCTGGGGTTGCTCTGGCAGAAAAGAGCTGGGAGATGCCAATTCTCAGCTGTAGTGAGGGGGACACTGGACCCCTGTGGGAAAGAATTTCTAAGGTCATTTCCCCTGTGAGCAGGAAGTCAAGGAGGGTAGTGGGTATGGAAGTCAAGTTCTATGGTGGCTCTCTGAGTTCCCTGATGGCTGCCTGACCATCACCTGTTGTCAGTAGTAGCTTCCAGCCAGGGGCTTAGGCTCAAGGCCCTTCATCATAGTAAAGCAGGAGCAGCAGCATCTGCATATTCCTTTTGAAGGAGGCAAAGGAACATTCACGTGAGCATGAACAGGTTGATATGAGGGCACCTGAGAGCTGCTAACGAGAAAGAGGGGATGTGGTGCTTGGAGGATACATCCTCACATGAGCAAAGGTTTCTGGGTGGTGGAAATAGATTAATCTGTTATGTTTACTCTGAGTCCAGCCTGTTATGTTTACTCTAGCCCAGGTCCTTCTCCTTGTGTCAGGAGAAGACTTCCTCTTCATCCAGTTCCTTCCTCTCTTATTCTCCAACCCACGCCAAGAAAGGCTCTTCATGATTTGTTTTGTGTCATAAAGATTATTCTTTGTACAGGAAAGAAGCCCCCCCCCATTGAATACACCAAAGTGGTTGACTTGTACAAGAGGAGTCTTTAGGAAGGGCATCCCCAGAACCCTGGGATTGATGTGGGATCTGTTTTGTACCCTTAGGGATGTTCTTCAGAGTCACATGATCTTGGGGCTGGTGGAGACCCTTACTCCAGCACTGGACAGTAAATTCCGGGAGGCACACAGAAAGCTGAGCCAGAAATTGCAGAAGCTGACAGAGCAATCACTCATGGTGAGGAGAATTAATATTTTTCAGATTGGGGCAAATACAGGTATATTTCTATCAGGGAACAGGCAGGGGAATAGAAGCCCCGCTGTGACTAGGCTGTGCATAGAGGCAGGCAGGAGCTTAACCTGAGAACTCAACTGCCAGGTATCAGACCTTTAGGAACATGTCTCCTGCTTGCCTCTCTGGCCTTTAATGTAAACCTTTAATGTAAACCTTTCAAGGGCTCCTCCCACTTTATCACCAGACTGAAAGAATTTGCTGCGTGGTTTGAAGACCTGGATTGAGAGTTTAGGATTCCCTGGATGAGGGATGAAATTTTTTTATTAGTGCATGTTTGCAGTGCATAGTGATTATATTCACCATGGGGAGTTGGTATATATAGGATATACAACATATCTTAATACTTTTTTCATCCCCTTCCCTTGTGTAAAAGATCCTTCTCCCTGTTTCCAATTATCTCTCTCTTATTTTGCTCTATAATTTATTTATATTTTGGATTTCTCATATAAGATAAATTGTGAACTTTAAGCTTTGTGTGTTGGATGTATTTCATTTAATGATATGATCTAAAGTTTGTCCTTATTTATGGCAAATTAGTACTCCATTGTGTACAAATACTACATTTTCTTTATCTTTGCATCTTTCAGTGGAGATGTAGGCTGCTTTCAAATTTAACTATTATAAATTATGCTGCTATAAACACAAGTATGCCTGTAGTGTTATAATATGATGTCTTTAACTCTTTTAGAAAGATACCTAGAAGTGGAATAACTGGGTCCAATGTAATTTCTACTTTTAGTTTCTTGATAAATCTCCATACTGATTTCTGTAGTAGTTATGCTAGTTCAATTCCAATCAACAAGTTAGAAGGTTTAATTTTTCCCCACAGCCTCATGCACATTTGTTATTAGATTCCTCGATGATAGTCATTTTCTCTGGAATGAGTTGAAATCTCTGCAGTGACCAGCAATGTTGAACATTATTTCATGTATTTGTTGGTTATATTTCCTCTTCCGAGAAATATCTATTCATTTCAGTTTCCCATTTTTTAGTTGAGAATTTTATTTAGGGGGTCTGATTCTTTGAGTTCTTTATATATTTAGATATTAGTCCTCTGTCTAATAGATAGATGTTTCCCATTCTGTATGGTGTCCCTTTATCTTGTTTGTTTCTTTTGCCGGGTAAAAGGTTTTTAATTTGATATTGTCCCATTTGTTGATTCTTATGCCATTGGGGTTCCGTTCAGAAATTCCTTACCTATGCCTATGTTTTCAATACTTTCACCTATTTTATCTTCCAGCAGATTGTTTCTGTTTTAACATTTATACCTTTGATCCATTTTGATTTTACTTTAGTGCATGAAAAGTATTGGTTTAGATTCAGTCTTTTGCATGTATATAACCAGTTTTCCCAGTACCATATGTTAGAGTCTATCTTTCCTCCAGTGTGATTTTTGGTCCTTTTGTCAAAGATCAGATGGCTGAATGTATCTGGGGTTGTTTCTGCAACCTCTATTCTGTTCCATGGATCCACATGCCTATTTTTGTGCCCATATCATGCTGTTATTATCCCTGTATCTTTGTAACATAACTTGAAATCCAAGACTGTGGTGCCTTCTGCTTTGCTCTTGATACCCAGGGTTGCTTTTGCTATTCTGGATCTTGTCTGGTTCTATTTGAACTTTAGGATTGTTTTTTCTATTTCTATGAGAAATGCCGTTGGTATTTTGATTATAATTGCATTTAAATCATTTGTCAGTTTTGGAAGTATGGCCATTTGATAATATTCATCCTGCTTATCCAGGAATGGGGGATATCTTTCTATTTTCGATATCCTCTTTGTCTCTTTTAAAACTGCTATTGTTTTCATTATAGAGATATTTTACTTCCTAATTAATTCCTACATATTTAATTTTTCCTGATACTATTGTGAATGGTATTACTTTCTCAGTGAGTTTATTCTTAGCGTGCAAGAACACTATTGGTTTTGTGTATTGATTTTATATCCTGCTACACTGCTAAACTCAGTTATTAATTTTAGGAGTCTTTTGGTGGAAATTTTTGGGTCTTCTATATAGAGGATCACATCATCTGAAAATAATAAATTGACTTCTTCCTTTCTTTTTTCTTTTTCTTTTCTTTTCTTTTTTTTTTTTTTTTTTTTTTTTTTGTGGCACTGGGGATTGAACTCCTGAGTTTGTGCTTGCAAGGCAGGCACAGCGACACTGAGCTAAATTCCCTGCCCAACTTCTTCCTTTCTTATACATACCATTTTATTTCCTTCTGCCTAATTACTCTGGCTAATGTTTTAAGTACTATATTAAACAGGAATAGCCATAATGGACATTCTTATCTTGTTCCTGACTTTAGAGGAAAAACTTTCAGCCTTTCAGTATGATTTTGGAGTTAGGTTTGTCATAAATACTTTTTAGCAGATTGAGATAAAGACCTTCTATACATATTTTCTTCATCTATATATTTACTTATATTAATAAAAATGAATCTTGGATTTTGTTGAAGGCTTTTTCTGTGAGAGAAGGATATGTTAGGCAGTGATTCCAAGTTTGACTTTCAAGCATGCTTTATAAGAAGCTCAACTCTTATCTGGTGCAATCAGTTGAGTCATATGTGGGCTAATTCCTAATAAGGAATATAATTATTGCTAATATAATTTGAGAGCTAAAAATGTGTTAGATATTTTCCCGAAACTTTTCATCTCCTAGTTGGTAAAATCCTCCAAATTCCATGAAGTACCATGGATATCATTTTATCTTTCTTTAAAAGACAAGGAATGAACTATTAAAAATTTTGAGCATGGTAATATAGTGGGTGAGTTGTTAGAATAAGACTTGAGTCTTGGCTGTCTGGCTGCAGGGTCTATGTGTTTGTTCACTGTGCTATAGAGTACCCCTTAGAAGCTCTTACCCACCCTGTGTCTTGATTCAGATGTCGAACAGACTCACTCTCCTTTTTATGGGGTTACTTCAAAATTCCTGGCACCAAACAACTTCCTGTAAGTTCCTGCACCATAGCCTGACATCATGTCTTAGAGGGTGTCTGATGCCAGCACAGTGATTCATGCCTAAAGAATGTAGAGGCTTACAGAGACTGAGCTCACCATCTGTTCCTATGGGGAACATAATTGTCCTAGGGGTTAGAAACTGAATCAAGCTCTGGCAACAAATAGAGATGTGACCTTGGGAAGGTCACTTTGACTTTCTACAACAACAGCCTAAAATAAATAATGATGGTAATGACTGACACACAGTGAATTGTTGCTGTCAGGTGCTGTGTGTAGCATGTAGATTATTTTAATCAAGTCTCCCATAAACTCGGAGAATTTTATCCCCAATTGTGCTGATGCAAAAATAGGCACAGAATGGCCAAATAACATCCCCAAGACAAATTGCTCACATGTAAAGGAATAGAGTCTAGGGTAGATATGTTTGGCTCATCAGGCTGTGCTTTTAACCACACAGTATAGAGGACTGAGAAATACATGAGTGCTGTAAAAATGGGTTAGCACACCTTCCTACAGATGGTAAGACAGGAAAATTTTTGGCTTGGTGTTTCATATGGTTTGTTTTACAGTTACTGGACTTGATACTTGTAGCCAAGGGCATAGCTATGTTCCTAGTAAATTCAGATTTAGATGTTATATATTTTTGGGGTCCTCAAGTGAGGGCAGGGAATGTGGGTTTGAGTATCAGTGAGATCTCTTTGCAGCAGGTGGAACTGGTAAAGTCTAGAGAAAGGAAGGAGGTGTTTTGTAAAGCCAGAGATCTGATCTCTTCTATTCAATGGTCATTAATTAGAAACTTCTGAACACATTCTTCTGAAGGAATTCTAATTTATAGTGTCGCTAAAAGACTGTCAGCTCTCATCATCTGCCCCCTGGGAGGTTAATTTTAAATGCATTGTCAATGAAAATGGCTGGCAAGTTTCTTCTATGAAACCTCAGGAAGTGACCTTGGGGAAGCAAAAGTAAGATTTTGCATGTGTACTTGTCAAAAATGAGGTATTTATATTAAGCTCCATGCCTGGCTTTTCAGAAAGTTTAAATATTTGTTTAACAATCCATTCTATTACCTATCTTGTTCAATTTTAGGACATTTGCAATTTTATCTCTACTATGAATGTTATGATCCTGAAGGGGAAGGGGGCTGAGTCAGGTAACTAACAACTTAGCTTTAGATTCATCTGTTCATTTATGTAATAAATATTTTTTTGAGCACCACTACTTGCAAGTACTTCTGTAAGCACTTAGGATTCATCAGTGAACAAAATAGTCAAGTATCTCTGCCTTCAGTCATTTATACTCATGTATACTTCAGTGCAAGAAGAAAGAAAATTTTTTAACCAAGAGCGTGTTGAGTGGTGTTAGGGAGAACAGCAAATGGAATGCTTTTCCTGGGGAGTGAAAGGGAATGCAGGTGGGGAGCAGCGATGATTCTCAGTCTCCATCATTGATGACTCATGGTGGTTCAGCCAGTCAAGAGTCCATTCATGACTCTGTCGTCCAACCTGATTTCTCTAGATGGGGTTCTGCTAGGTGCCTTCCCAAATCTGGATAACGTCAACAGACTGGCATTAGTGTAAGCAGAGTAATGCTAATGGAATACCAGTGGGATTCAGAACAGTTGGGAGGACTTTTAAGGTATTGTTTCACCTGATGCTCAATTCTGGGAGGAAGGCAAAACAGGCATTTTTCTCTTATTCATTGTGGTTGTAACTGGAGCAGGCTGGAATAAGGAAATAACCCATAAGTGGTAAGTGCCTGTGCTCAGGCAGAGTACTGGTGGCCCTAGTAATTCCAAAGGCTGTAGATGTGTTTCATTGGATTTTAGAGTAATTTACAAACTTTGAATTAATTGCCAAAATTCAAAATTAGGAGATGACACAGTGACATCAGATTTCCCAGCCTGTACGTCTGTGTGCCTGTTTATGGAGCTCTGTCACACTGGGCAGCCTCTTCCACTGGCAAGTTGTGCAGTACTCAAGTGTCCTAGCTCTGTTTAGCTGGGCGAGCTGTGCAGTTGGCTGGGGCCCTGACAGGCCCTGGGCTTCTGATACTGAAAGCTGCTCTCTCAGTTATGTTCCTGTATCACTGCAACTTTAGTGTGTCGCTTTTACTCTGTCTTATGCCACAGTCTGATGAGGCTTTTAATCAGAGACATTTGTATTATTTTGGCATTATTTGTCCTTAGTGATTCCGCCCTGCCTCTTAATAATTCCAACTTAATATTTCTCAACTGTTAAAAACCATTCCTTTAATGATTTATTCTACACTTTTGTTTAGACTGACACTGACAACTCCTGACTATCCCATCATCTCAAATTCTATTTCAGCCCTGTTGAAAACTGGACAAATTTTTGCTTCCATCCAGATTCTTGGAATTTTTCCTGATTTCTATCATTTCCTAAATAATCTTATTCAGTGTTCAGCATTGACACGTGCAGTTTTTTTCAACGCCCTGAGATTAATCCAATGAGTTTTTCTATCTTGCATTTGAAACATTCCCTCCATCCCCTATATTTTGAAAAAGTTTCTCCCTCTAGCCCTGTTTCTTTTTCTGTGTTTCCAGTCAACATGGTATAGTTTGTCAGTCCATGTCACAAGAGATAGCTGTGGTAGTCTTCTGAGGAGAGGTGTCTATATTTTTGAGCAGCCAGATCCTTCAGCAAAGAATGTTGGAAAAATGGTCAGGTGCTGGCAAAGGGAATCAGGAAGCAAGAACCAGGAAAAGTGAAAGAGCAGATGCACATATTCAAGATCCAGTGCTTGTGCAGGTTGTTGCCATCACGAGCATTGCAATAGTCTAGTAGGGGGCACTCCTGGAGCCAACCCTGCCTGGAGCAGGATGGATGCTGAATGTGGCCAACTGAGCCTGCATTTGACCCAGTCATTGCCATCAGACCCTGCTTTCCTCCAGTTTCCATTTGCTTCTCACACTGAGGTTGCACAGCTCCAGCTAGCACACCACGGAGCCTGAACCTTTCTTGCAAGAAGACACATGAACAGAACTTATAGTACAGGAAACAGAACACTGAAAATGAGCAGCCAGATGTAGAACAATCTTGAAAATGATAAATTTCCTAGCAGGCTGGCTGAGGAGTTTCCTCTTCACTCTTTACTGTAATGGCCCATCTTTCCATTCCCTCTAGATACCCCATAGTCCAGCTCCAATCTTAAGACCAGCCCAGTCATGATTTCAGTGGTAGCCTTTCTACCTGCAAGCAGATCTTTGGGAAGTAAATAAATTACAGCACTGAGGTCTTTGGCTTCATTACATCTAACCCAAACTAGCATGTGAGCTGTTTTTCATAAATTCCAGCTCATTCTCCTTTCCTCTGGCCAGCTGTTTAAATCTTTTCCCCCAGCTCCTAATTTGTTTCTGCATCCTTTCTGTGTTATGTCTGGGTTTATTCCTCAGTCAACTCTTTGAAGCCATCCAAAACCACTTCAGAAACCACCCCCAGTGTGTTTTTATTGTCTTTTGTTTTTATTCTCTACATCCTGCTGTTAGAAAACCACACTGGTGTTTCTCTTAAGCTGCTGTCTAACAGCTCTGCACCTCTAAAGTTAAAGTCCTTCATATTTTAACCTTATTTTATTTCCTTGATTTGGCCAAAAGTTTCCCATCTCTTTGATTTATACATTTAGTATTTTTTTCCCCTCTTCTCCTACTAAACAATATGGCATTGAAAATTCCCTTTGCCTGATGATTTACTTTTCTGGAAGATAAGATCCTATAGTGCGATGTGCATGCTTGCTGGATGGGACATAGGTGATGGTGGTGAAAGGAAATGACTGTCTTCAATTTCAGTTTTGAGCAAGAGTGGGGGTGGAGTCACTTCAGTGTCCTGTGTGTAGTGAGTGGAGCCCTGGTTGGGTAAGTCTTGTTATGGAGGGAAAGTGGTTCACTTTCTTGCTCTCTCCTTCCCCGAAGCCTTTTATTCTTCCAGAGAGATGCTTCCTGTGGGCTTGCCTTCAAATCAATAGGCAATAAAGATGAGTGATTCACAGTGGTACTCCCAGGACTAGTCCTAGAGGAAGACACAGGTCTCTTCTGCTGAGCAGCAGTCTGTGTCACTGGATTGGAAAATAAAGGGAGATAAGACAGAAATTCCAGGAAACAAAGCCCCTGTGGGGTGAAGGTCTAGACAAGATTGGCCTGGGAAAGTGGCGAGGAAGTGGTCTTGGACAGAACCACTCAACCCAGCTTTGTCTCTGCAGCCAGCCCACCCGAGATGGAAGAAGTGCGTAGAATACACAGGAGCCTTCTTTGAGCCCACTCTGGCGGCCTTCTTTGTCAAGGAGGCCTTTGGCCCAAGCATCCAACGCGCTGTATGTGAAAGCTGTCCGCTGCCCAAGTCCCTCTATACTTCCCACCCTGCTCACCCTGCTCTGCTTGGTACGGCACATGAATGGGAGTCAGGAAAGAGGAAAATATGACCCAGGGGGAGAATCCTGAGGCCTGCTTCATCTCTCAGTGGGGCACAGTTCAGCTATGGAACACAAAGTATCCACAATAGGTGCTAATTTGGACAAGTCACCCTGTGTTTCTTCAACTATAAAATGAAAAACTTGTACTCCATGACCCCAAGGCTCCTCCTTGTTTGTCTAAAAATTTTAAATAACACCTGATATGACATGAACACTAGCATGACACAATCTCTCTCTCTCTCTCTCTCTTTTGCTTTTTTGAGACAGGGTCTCACTATGTAGTTGAGACTGATCTGGAACTCACTATGTAGCCCAGGCTGGTCTGGAACTCACAGTGATTCTCCTGCCTCAGCCTCCCTAATGCTGAGATTACAGGCATGTGCCACCACACCTGGCTAGAAACAGAGCTTTTTCTTTACTGGGGATGGAACTCAGGCAGGCAACAGAACTACTGAGTTAAATTCATGACCCTAGCATGACATAATCTTGAGGTGGCCAAATCAATAGTCCTGAATGCGTACTGCCTGCCTCATGCTGAAGATTCTTGTAAGCACTTTGCAGAAACTTTCATTTCATCCCTATTAACATCATTTTCATTCTATAGGAGAGAGAACTGAGGCACAAAGAGCTTAAATGACTTGTTCAAAGTCAGGTAGCCACCAAATAGCAGAATTAGAATTTGAACTCAGGCAGTCAGAGGCCAGAGCCCAGCCCTCTGATATTATCATTCATTTTCTCCCACCAAGAAATGATAGATACAAGATAGTAGATGGATGGGAAGGTAGAAACCATGCACTTAGGTTGGGAAGCTGGGGAGACTCCAAGTTTTTGGGGAGCCTCAGGAAATAGGGTGTGAGGGCAAGAGCTCTGAGATTAGGGAAGGGAGTGATAGCCCTCTTCTCCCTCTGATTTTTGTGCAGTTTGCATGTCCCTGTGAATAAGGACTCATCACATGAAGATCTCCCAATGCTAGGGACTATCTTTCTGGTTGACCTCAGGGTAGATAGCTCCCCATGACTTCCCTGTGCTGGGTGCTGCTCCACAGATCTTTGGGCCCTAGAGTTGGTGGCATCCTGGGAAATGGCCCTTCCCATTGTCTTTGAGATCCCCCCTTTTTTTGACTGCCCCTCCAGCTTGGCAGCTCTCAAGGTAGAGGTCCCTTCCTAAAGCCAGGCACCAAGGAACTGCCAGGGCTGAGGTAGGTCCTGATTCTGTGTCTCCACCCCCCTCTCACCCTACAGGCCATGAAATTATTCACTGAGATCAAGGATGCCCTAATAGCACACCTCAAAAAGCTTCCCTGGATAAGTGAGAAGAGCCAGAAAGAGGCCCAAGACAGGGTAAGCTATGAATGCAGGCTGGGTGGAAACATCTAGACAGTAGAATTGACCCTTGGAACAACAGAGTTGGTGAGGGAGAGAGAGCCAGGCACAAAGGCATGGAGTAAGTTTGGAAGTCACAGTGCTGCTCAGACACCCCAGAGGGTGAAGCAGCAAAGGCTCTGAGACACTCAGAGGGCAATCTAGATTCTTACCATCTTTTGTGTCTTTCCTTAGGTCACTCAACTACAGGTGAAAATAGGGGCGCCAGACTGGGTCCTGAAGCCGGAGCTGGCCAGACAGGAGTACCAAGATGTGAGTCTTTGCCCTTTTCAGCTCCCATTCACTCCTTGACTTCTCAATTCTCTGTTTTCCCTCAGTGATTCTAACCAACAACTTCTGTATCCTCTTTAGATACAACTTGGTCCCAGCTTCCTTCAGTCTGTCCTGAACTGTATCACATCTCTCCAGGCAAGAAATGTCCAGAGCTTCTTGCAACCCTTGTCCCATCACAGGTAGGAGAGCAGGGGAGACACAGATACTCCATCCCTAAAATGACCCAAGTATAATCAATAGGAAAGGAAGCTGGAACAGTAGTATTATAATAGTTATAATAATAGTAATAGTTGGAAAGGATTGTGTATGCCTTTCCGGGGACAATAAATGGAAAGACCATTCATATGTTCTTTCCTACAGATGGCAGGTGTCCCCCTGGGGAGTCAACACTTACTATTCCATATCTGATCATGTGGTGGTCTTCCCAGCTGGACTCCTTCAACCTCCATTCTTCCACCCTGGCTACCCCAGGTATGGACCATGCTATGAAAGTGAGCAGAGTGTCTAGAAGTGTTACAGTGGATGGAACTTGGGATTGGAGGGTTACAGTGCAAATGTTGAAGGATTCTGGGACTAAAACAGGACTTTTCTTTTCCTAGAGCCGTGAATTTTGGTGCCACTGGCAGCATCATGGCCCGTGAGCTGTTGCACATCTTCTACCAGCTCTGTGTGTAACAAGGGCTATTGGGAGGTGGGGCCACAGGGAACCCAAGGGAAGATCTCAAAGGAGGCCTAAAAGGGAAAGAAAAATAATTCACAGAGTCCAGGTGGGACAGTCCTGGACACTTTCAGTGTTCCTGAAAGCCAAATCAGCATATGGTACCATGTTCCCATCACACCTTGCCAATTGATTCTCTTGCTCTGTTTTCAACAGTACTCCCAGGGGGTTGCCCAGCCTGTGACACACATGCCCTGCAGGAGGCATTCCTATGTCTGGAACACCATTATGCTGCCCTCCTGTTACCCAGCACGTCCTCCCTCAATGGCTCCCAAACATTCCTGGAGAATGCTGCGGATGTTGGTGGACTGGCCATTGCATTGCAGGTACACTAAAGCCATGTCTGTTCTAACCAGCAGGCTAGAAACCTTGTCCTCAAGTGTCCCTTCCACTGTCCCTTATACAAGCACAGTGGCATAGTTCTCTCCTTTTTCACATCCCCACCAAATAGATGGCAGTATGAAGATTCCCCCTCCTACACCATAGATCCCACACTTTCTAGGACAGCTCTAGGTCTTCTGGCAAGTGCTCTTTCCTCTGGCCTAGGCCAGTATGTCAGTGCAGAGGTGATAAAGGCCAGGAAGTTGTTTGGGTGGCTGTGTAGAGAACACTGGATTTCTAAGTGACTGTGGCCATGAATCTGAAGCTTAAAGGCAGCCTCATATTCCACACAGGCATACAGCAAGAGGCTGATACAGTACCGTGGGGAGACCACGCTGCCCAACCAAGACCTCAGCCCCCATCAGCTCTTCTTCCGAAGCTATGCCCAGGTAGGAAGCTGCCCTCTCCTTCCACAGCTTGCTTCTTCTCAGAGAAGAACCCCGTGACTAATGCTCAAAGAACTTTCCTCCCTGATACACACTTACTCCCAGATCCTCAACCCACTGACACAGATGTACACATTGTGATCTATTATCATTTGTTCCCTTGAAATCATCCTTCAGGTTACTACAGGTTCTTTAATTAAATTCAACACCCCCCCCCAAGAGAAGGAAAAACTACTTATAGGTCCTACCATGAAATGAACTCTGCCCTTTTTACGCTTATGCCCCAGAAATCTAGATCCCTTTAAAATGTGCCTGCAAGAGGCTGACAGTATATCTCCTTCCTGCTCAGAGAACTTGTCCTTTGGACTGGTCCCACCCTGATATTTCTCCTTCTGTCTCTATGCTCCCTCAACAAGTACGGCATTCAATTTCTCAACACACTTGGGGTCATTATTGGAGTGCTCCATCAGATCCCCCCCTTTCCTTTATAACTCGTGCTATATGAGAGCCCAAGCCATGTCCCACACTCCTAATGCTAGATTAAATGAACTGCAAATGACAAACACTGTATTGCATGGGCCCTGAACATTCTGTTCCTGTTCCCCTATTAGTCTGCTTCCCCGGGTGGCCCCCTGTCTCCATGTATGACCTGGAAACACCTGCTCTGCTCCTTACCCTTCCTTGGCCTCTCTCTCTCTCAGGTGATGTGTAGAGATTCCAATCCCCAGGACTTTAAGGACATTCACAGACCCCCCAGTCTTCGAGTCAACGGACCCCTTAGCAGCATCCCCGATTTTGCCAGATATTTCAGCTGTCCACGCGGTACCCTCATGAACCCCTCCAGACGCTGCCAGCTGTGGTAACTTGGCCACCAAGAGATTTCAAAGCAGGTCTGTCACAACAGATCTCCATCTCATGAAGCATGAAGCATGAAGGCATAGTCTCTTTTTTCTTTCCCTTGCAAAAATAAAACCCAGCACTTGGCTTCTGCCATTTCTTAATGAATTTCATGCTATGTTCTGTTCTTAGTAGTCAGAAAAGGTAAGAGGGAGAAATGCCAAGAAGGGCTCCCATTAAAATAGGAAAGAATCAATGACTAGTGAGTAGGTAGGTCTGAAGGTCAATTCGTTGGTCAAATACTAAAAAGTTAAATAGACCCCTTAGAAACACAAGGATTTGGTTAAGACTCAGAAAACTGCTCCCAATTGTTTTCAGTATTTTATTGCTACTTTACTGTCAATGCCTCTGTCCTCTGCCCTCCAATCTGCTATATCGGGCAAAACCAGGGGAGGACTGGGAGAGAAAAGGGTGTGGATCTGAGATCTCTGGCCCTGGAATGCAGAGCTTTGGGCTTGGGGTGGCATCAGGCAGAAGCCATGGCAGGAAAGCCTCCGAGGCTGCACCCTAAGGACAGGTGCCACTGGCAAGAGCAGGGAGCAGTGTGCAGGGAGGGGCATGGGTATCTCTTTGGGGAGCTGTGGTGTGGAGCCCAGTGGAGAGAGCAGGTCAGTAAGCGATCAAGAAGCGAAGGTAAAAATCCAGGTCTTCCTCCTCCAGGAGCCAGACCACTGCCTCGGCCTCAATGTCCCTCATAAAAAAGCCATGATGCTGGCCAGGTTAAAGCAGAGAGCGAAATAAAAACGGCGGTCTTGGACAGCTGCTGCCTCGGAGATGAAGTCCTCCTCTTGCTGGACCATGTCCACCACCTGCCACTTCTCACCCACCGAGGAGGCCATGAAGTGCTCTTCATACTGCTCTTGGCCCTGCTCTGGAACAGGAGAGGACAGAGAGGGCCAGGCCCGACCCTGATCTAGTCCTACCCTGACCCTGAACCAGAAGGGGAAGAAGTCGGGGTGTGGGGAGAGCCAAGGGCATTCAGCCCAATGGCCACATCCTGGGCTTTGGCCGGAATGTGATGCACTGTCTAGAGGTCGTTTCTGACCTGGGTTCCAGCACAGCCCCAGCTCAAGCAGCCCTCCTCACACACACCTCTAACACTGCCTCCTCCGCAGTGCGACCCCATCTTAAAGTGAGCGACACCATCCAATGCATCGAAAACCACAGAGGTATTACAGGCAGACATGCTTGCCCACCCACACAGAAGCTGCATGCACAGCAGCTGGCCGTGCTGTCCCCTGGTGAGGAACCCACACTCCAGACCTTTTTCAGGACACCCTGGGGTCATGCCATGATGATGGGGACCTGGCATTCTCTCCCGTAACCCAAAGCCATGGGAGATCCACTCTCACCTAAGCAACTGCTTAGGGCCTGACCTCTGACAGGTCCAGCCTTCCCTCCAGAATGGCCTCCCCTTCCCCACCTACCTTCAGGGGGCGTTTTCTCTTCCAGGCCCCTCTTCTCTGTACTGCCCTTCTGAGTCTTGGTGCCCTTCACCTGCAGCAGCAACATCAGCAGGATGGCAGCCAGGAATGCTGCCCTGTGGGGCTGGGACCACAGCAAAGTCATGGGCCTGCCCACCCACTGGGGCTTCTGGCCCCAGCTTCCACTGCTACCAGGCTCCTGCCCTCTCAGGGTCCCAGCCCTTACCCCTGCCCAGTGCCGTTTTTGCCTCTGCTTTTCCATTAGACCTCTGACTCCATGTGCTCTGTGACATCACAGCCACAGGTCTGACCTTCATTCCAGTTCACCAGAGCATTCTATGGCTAGGCAGCCTTTGCAGAAGCTTCCAGGGTGGCCAGAGCACGTTATCCAGCAGTCCTGTCAGAGGCACTGCTGCTTTGGATACACAGAGGCACCAACCCTCCAAAGTAATAGCTCTCCACACCCATTGTAGGGACGAGGAAATTGAGATTCACAGTACGAGTGACTCTTTCACTGAGGACCATACAACTGCCAACAGTCAGAGCAGGACTTGCAGTTTGGACTTTTGTATGTAAAGATGGCAGCTTCCCAGTATTCTATGCAGTCTTCTCGGAAGAGAAGGGCTGGCAGGGAGCAGTCCCAGACCTGATGCAGAAATAAGGGTCCTCATGTACTGGGCAAGCCTGGTTCTTGACATAGTCCTTGAGTCTGTCAGAAACAGAGGATGGGGTGGAATAGAGGGAGGGTGAGAATGTAGCTATACGTGCATGAAAGAGACAGAGAGACACTGCATAGGCATAGAGACAGACAAGGAGAAAAAGGGACAGACCAGGACATAGAGAAAAAAGAGGAAGAGAGCACAGGGACAAAGCCAAGACAGACGTGCACCCCATGTACAAAGAGCCAGGGATGAGGTGGGATCTGCCCCCACACTGAGGCCCTTCTGTATCCTCACTGCCCCTGTTTTTCTTCTTTCTAACTCTGCCTTCCTGCACCTTCAAGCTGAAATGCCCTGCTCTCTTCTTTCACACCTTCCTGTCCTCTTGGCCACAGTGTGTTGCAGCTCATCTGCAAGCTCCTTGGCACTGGGAAAAGTGAGTGTGTGTGCAGGAAAAGCTGGGAGATAAGGCTGCCAGTGGTGGATCTGTGGAAAGCCTCCCTCAGTGCCCCAGTGCCCGCCCTGGAGAGCACGGGCCTTTTGCTTCCTGGCAGAGAAGTTTACGACAGCCTTTCCCCTGAAACCAGAGAGCCACTTGAGGAGGAACAAGGAGGAAGGAACTCTCACAAGCTGCTCACACCTCTCCTGCTGTCAGTAAATCACATGCGTGCAAGCATGCAGAAACACACACTCTCAGTGCAAGAGGGAACTACAGAAACAGAAGTACAAGCAGGGATTCTTTCCAGGAATATTACCCACACTCACAGACAGGTCAGAATTACAGCAGGCATTGCTTTTATATAGTTCCTGGTGATCAAGCAGGTGGCAGGGGACTGAAATAGCAGGGCACTTGATAGGAAAGTTTCAAGTCGGCAGTGACTCTGTTCACCCCTGCTTTGCACCCATTGACCTGCAGATCCAGAGAAAGATGCATGAATGGAAAAAATAAAATCCTTAATCTCCTCTTAACTATTTTGTGGGAGGAGCCTCTTGGTTCCCTTGCACAGAAAGAAGCCACCTCGAGCTTTGTAGGTATGAATGGAGAGGGCGGCTGCGGGAGGGGCAGCTGAAGTGGACAGAACTGGGCTATACCGACCGCTGTCACTTCCGTTTCCCTGCCTTGCACCTTCCTGACTTCTAGTGTTCAAAGACTTGAATTCTTGCAGGAAACCAGTAATCCCTCAAAAATTTTGGTCTTATTGTAAAAGTATAAAATAGAGAAAAGTAGTTCTATTATTAATTAATTAATTAAGTTTTGGTACCAGGAATTGAACTCAGGACCTTGTGCTTGTGAGGCAGGCAAAGGCACCACGGAGCTAAATCCCCGGCCCAGAAAAATATTTTTAAATGGCTAATAATTCAGGATGCAAAGAAAATCATCATCAGTGTTTAGATTCTTTTGTTAGATGCCCATGAGTGGATGGGGTGACAGTGTATTTCCTAAAAATTGCAATCCAAATATGTTTTCTATTCCTCCTTGCCATGCAGGAATGCAGAGGTCAGGCTGCTTTGTTGTACTGACTCCAGGGACCCTGACAGTGGAGCCAGAAGCCCCAAGCTCTGCTCCTGAAAGACATCCTTGGCAGCTCTCTGCTCTAAGGCCTCCCCTGGTAGCTGCTATGGGGGTGGGGTGGGTA